TTTGTGTATATGGATATATAATGTGCCTGTTTGTGCACACCCCCACCCCCACCCCAACTGCATTTGTTTATCCATTTAATTTTTTTTTTCCTTAGTTGCTATGGATTTGGCCTGGATCATGCTAGATACATAGAATACAATATGAATTCTATTCTTGATGGGCATTTGGGGTTATGGCACTGCCTGGTTGATAGACTATTTTAAAAAGAAGACTACAACATGGCTATTTTCAGACATAATAGGGAACAATGTGGCTCTAATAGAACTTCTTTAAAACAAGTTTTCATAAAACAAGAAGAAAATAAAAGGAGACTGTAAAAGTCCGTGGATACACCTAAAGACACCAATGCAGATATCAAGTAAAACCATACACAAGGTCATTTGTACTCACATAGGAAACCTTACCAGACAGAGAATTTGGTGCACTAGCTGAAATCATTTCAGAAAGAAGTTTGTGTGGATAGAGGGATTTGTAAGTGAGAGTGGAGGAGCTGCTTTAGATGCGTCTTGTCAGCATCTTAGCTTTGTTCCTCCATTGGGCTCTCACGATGTTCAGGATCTGCTTGTCCACCCTGAGCAGCACCAGGGGACTGAGCGTGCCATAGCTGCTGGCCACTGCATTGTGGATGCTCCCGAGCATGGGGTCGTTTCTCCTCATCCCACTGATGAGCAGGGAGAGCGCAGAGTCTGCACAGTACAGGGCAGTGAAGCAGCCAAGCAGCTGCAGGATGCTGTGAGTGGCCCTGTGCTTGGGGGAGGTCTGGGGGGACAGCCTGGAGCCGTGGAGGGACAGGTAGCACTGCTGATGTCTGTGCAGGAGGGTGGTGGCCATGTACCCACTGGACACAGCCATGAGGCCCACAAAGAAGATGTCTCTGAGTGTTACCAGGAGCAGAAAATGCCCCTGTATCTTGGCAGGAAGGAGCAGTGGCTGTTGTTAAAGAGACCAGGCTGCGTGGCATTGGTGGTGGCCACTGTGAAGAGCAGCTGGTTGCTGGTAATGGCCACGGTGAGGACCCACAGGAACAGACATGACCCCAGGATGGGGTTTGCAGATTTGACTTTGAAATTGGCCAGCGAGGAGCCACTGGGGCTGATGGTGAGGGCCTGGAGCACATTAAGGACACAGGTGGTGCCGAGGGACAGTCCCCTCATGACCTTGTGCAGGAAGACCAGCACTTTGCATTTGACATCACCTGGAATGTCCTGCACTTACCAGATGTCTGTGGATACCAAAAAGGCCACAGTAAGGAGCAGGATGATGTGTGTCAGAGCCAGCTGGGTGATGGGTAGGTCGATGAGCCTGGGCTTCTGGTCCCCGAGGATGGCAGCCAGGTTCAGGCAGAGCAGACAGGTGTTGGCCGAGATGCCAAACCCAGCCTGCAGGTAGAAGGCACTTCTCGTGGCCCTGAGTCTGGAATCTTGGTCCATCTTCATGAGAATGTTGAAGCAAATGATGTGTTTCTGCAGAGAGAACCAGAAGTGTTTGACAGCTGCAGAATTTTTATTGCATGATTTTGTCATTATGTCACATTTTACAGTCACTAGAATCATTATTTACTAAAAAAACATTCTTTGGAAGTACGATAGGCTCTTATTTCCATTATCAATTTAAATTCAAGGGATGGCATGTGGCTCAGGGGCAGAATGTTGGTCCAGCCTGCAGGAAACCTGGTCCACCCCAACCCAGACCAAGGAAAATAGTCAATTTAAAAAAAAATAATTAACTAATTTTAGCTTGTGCACCAATCGTTCTTCAGATCAATGATTTTGTAGATGCCCCTCACCACAGGGAGGTGGTGATGCCTTCCCCTCTGTCTGACAGAACTACTGCATTTTCCTTTAGATTATAAATTCCATCACTTCCTTTTAATACTTTCTTTCCCACTTCCTAAGATGTGGTCCTGTTTGTCCTGGGAACGGTGTCTACGAAATGCTGCTGCTACGTAGACATTGCCCAGGGAAAGCTGTAGGCCCCCAGGTTGGAGTTGGAAATGGATCCTCTAGGAGGACAACCTCTCCTGCTCATCCCACTCTCTCTTTATAGAGTGCATAATTGGGAGGGATTGTGTACTTATGTGTTCTGCCCCTCCATAGCTTCCTCTAATCCAGTCACCATCACTTACACTCAGGGCCAGGCATGTAGCCCCATGTGAGTAATTTCAACTCCGTTTGCATTCTGAGTAAAAGGGGTGGAAGGTAGCATTTGTTCCCTGGCCCTTTTGGTGTGAGTCAGAGTCAGTCCCGTGACAGGTGAAACCAGCATCCTTGTGTTGGTGTTGGGATGATTCCAACCCAAGGTGTGCGTGTGTTTTGTAAAGTAGGATCAGGAGATGTGGACATCTATAACTAAACAGGCGTAGTGCTGTCACTCACCCCTTGCTGACATTAGCTGGAGATCCAGTGCAGGGTCATTTGTAGAAAGCAAAAAAGGGAACATTTTTTCAGGAAGAGAACTGGTACCTGGACCCGAGGGTGCCTTACCACTGAGCTACATCCCCAACCCCCAGCCCTTTTTATTTATTTTTTAATATGGGGACAGTTTCTCACTGAGGGTCTTAGGACCTCACTAATTTCTTGAGGCTGGCCTTGAACTAGGCATCCTCCTGCCTGAGACTCCCAAGTTCCTGGAAGCCTGGCACAAGGAGAGTTTAGCCAACAGTTTACCTGTTTGCTTGCCTCTCCTCGGATGAAAGAAGAGACTTCACACATAGTGTTTGTAAATGCAATAAGACTTTCAATTTCAAGGGAAATTAAGTATTTCGACCCTAAGCTCCAGGCACTGGTAAAATACCAATAAAATTCACCCATCACATTTTAGTTGGCCTGTTCATCCCCAAGGAGGAAAAGGGAATGTCTGCAATGAACAAGGTGAAGTCCAGCTGTATGTCTTCCATTTGAATTGGTCCTCTTTGGAAGATTCTGGAACATTCCTTAGCTCAGAAACCTCTAGATGCATATTCACTCAGACCCCAAAGGACACCTGAGTGCTGGGAGCAGGCCCCCAAGCCATTGAGTGTCCTTCAGGGAATCTGCCCTCGTTTCCCAAGCTTCTGCCATCCTGCTTCCAATGCCTGCATCCAGACATTTGGAAACAAGATGGGAAAGATCTACACTATTTTCTAATTGCCATTTATTTTCCTTTAAAATTACATGAATTCCTGGAGGTTATTCTCCATAATTTACCTTGATGAATGTGCAAACATAAATTCTGTAATCATTCAGTGACTGGATAGAAACTGTACTTGGACTATATTTTTATGGAGATAATTTTCATTTCCAAACATCATTAATCAAATGACAAGAACACAAAAAAATGCCTTAGAAAATGAAATATGTCTTATGGAAGATAAAATAAGCTTCCTGTAGATTACTGTAAGCTGCTCTTCTCTGCCACAGAAACTTTAGTGAAATTACAGTAAAGATCTGGTTTATTTCCAGAGGCACCAGTGAATCTAGCAGAAGCAGAATATGTCTTACTCTTTCAGAAATCACACGTGTGCAAAAATTCTTGTCTAAAATTCTCTGTGCTGTCTCAGGGATTGGGCATTAGTAAAGAATGAAGCTGACAGATCAGCTGGAATAGGGCAAGTATTCTAGGAATTTTTAGGAATCAAGGAACAATGTGTGTTAACATAGAAGGACATAAACTATAGCCAGATCAGGGGCCTGTGGTTCTCTATAGTAATATCACTTTGCCCAGTTATATATTTTCTAATTTTACCACAAATTTGTATTTATTCTAGTATTTTGAATGTATTTTTTAGTTATAGATGGACACAACACCTTATTTTTGTGTGGTGTTGAGGATTGAGCCCAGTGCATCACATGTGCCAGGCGAGTGCCCAGCACCTGGGCCCTGGCTCCTGCCCCTGAGCCCCAGCCCCTTCTTCTTGTATTTTTAAATCTCCTTTCATCCCTGGGATATATATATAAAATTCAATGAATTTACATGAAATAATTGCCGTTTCTAGAAAATTCTGGGGTTGAATTCTGTCTTCCTCCATGGTTTGCATTAGTAAAGACTCTAAAGCTAAACGTCAGCTTGGTGAACCTCAGAGCTTCAGAAACACAAAAGGTGTCATGGAACAGCGTTTCCAACATGAGGAGGTCCTAACTGTCACCAGATAAATGTCCCTGGGCTCTGTGTACTAATACCACTACAGAGAGATCAGCTGTGAAAACTTTGTGTATTTTATTTGGTAACAAAATTTATTCTATTTGT